ATTGTGGGTTTTGTTTTCAGACTGAATGATGTTGCAGATTTCTGACGAAAAAATGCTTTGTCATTTGTGCGCATCAGCCTACATTCATAAACTCCTGTAATTAAAAGTGAAATTTTCAAATTAAACCAACAAAAGAGGTATAAAATATTTGTAATAACAACAATAACATTTTTGGAATACTCCTGGTTTTCCGCCCTCATACACTGAAACTTTACTTTTTAGCAATCCAAGGCTAAAACAACAATGTCTATAAAATATTAATCCGTTAACTAAAGGATAGTTTGCAAGTTTCCTCTCAAATTGGTTAGTCACCTCCAGTTACAATATTTCTCCATTTCTTTGCCACATTTCTCCAAATATTTTTAAACTTCTTAGCTCTGAACATGCATTTTAAAAATAGCTCATACATTCAGTAAGACACTGGTTAAGCTGCTAATACAATACCTAACATTTTGTTAACTAAGCCGCTAGTTCCTTTGACATTGTGTTAACTGGGGTGGTCAAGTTTTAGATACTAACTGATACTACACTACACTGTTTTAGAATGGCAGTTGACTCTAAAAGTGAGTTCCTTATCTTATCTAACCCTAATTTTTCTGGGAATAACCAACTGCGATTGTGTAAAAATATAGCTTAAATGCTTAAAAGCAGAACATATTTCATTCTGTATTGAAATGAAAGGACTCTTTACAATGTATTGTGAGGAAAAAAAACCTGGACTGCACAGAACTAAAAAGAAGAATATCAGCTCATTAATAATAAAATAGTACAGTAAAAGAACGAATACTCTGTTTGGCCACAAATTGTCATAAACTGCACACCCGTTATAATGTGCTTGCAAACCCAAGAGGGGAAACTGTTTGTCTGCCCCCAACCAATGGCGGTACTCTTTTGCATCACTAAACTATTATTTGAGAAGTGAGCCATAGAAACTGGGAAAAACTGTATATCAGAATATTAGTGTACCTATAAAGGTCACGTCCCTTTGTTTAGATGCTATTGTGGTCCTTAAATCACTGGTTAAAATGCATATACTGCTCACATGAAGTGTAACAGCTCAGCAAAGGAAAACATTTTTTAGCTTTTGTACCATGTTACTTTTGTTTGATCTGTGTTGTGGATTTTTTTGGATGACATGAATACCTATACACTATATATCTATCTGCACTGGACATATATACTGTATACAGAGTCTTCCGGACCAGACATTTTGCTCTCATCAGAGTTTATTGTGGTGGTTCAGTAACATGGCAGAATTCTTCTGCACTGTATTTAAATGGTATATATATATTAGCTTTTCTGTGAGAGACTTAGGCCCAACCATTGGATACCTCTTCAATACATAAAATAATTGTAGTGGTATATTTACTACACTAAGACAGGCTGCACTATAATTATTTTGGGGTGAAACTTTCTCTGCAATTTGTTCTTTTCAAAAGCAGGTCAGACTGATTGATGCACTGACAATGCTTGTGTTGCACTGTAAGATGAATTTTACCCAGCCAATCAGAATTTTGCTGTTGCTCTTGCCTGAGTACTAAGAGAAAACTGTGATGCAGAACTTACATTTTAATTTTATTAAAACTAAAATATTAATATTAAAATTAAACAAATTATATTAAAATGTATTCCTATTAAATGCACCAACCCATTTCTTACCATTGTCAAAGCTAATAAACCTTGACACGGTTAAGGTTCCATCCTTAATTGAAATTCTGTGTTCTTCATCTTCAGATATGAGCACCGTATTACGTCTCCACTCTGCTGCTGAGACATTGCCAAAATTGAGATTCCCTGGTGGAGGGCCACATGTGACAGTCACTGTTTGCTCATAAAATCCATCATTTGGCGAAAATGTCAGGGGACCCGAGGCTTGAAGGACAAAAATGTCGCACAATTATTAAACAACTATCTGGACCAATAGATATTCACAACATTTGAAAGCATAAATGTAAAAGACTACCTTACCCTCAAATATTACAGGATATAATTTTGCCAGGTTGTTAGATATTTTTAAATTTAATGTCTGAAAGTCTGTTGTATTAGAAAGGGGAGCACTGACTTGATATTGGGCAATGGTACTTCCACTCCTGCAACAGAGAATAGAATTCCTTTAAAAATGTAACCACAAAAGTGTTGCCAACTGTTATGTTCTCACATATGATGTATTTTTTCACTCACACAGCCCAAACAAGTCTCATGCCAAATTAAAACAAACATCAAAATCCCCTTAGTTATTACAAAAAATAATTAATTTGCAGTAAATTAATCAATTCATTTTTTTCTCTACTGAGTAAAGACTGAATGTCAGACTATTTCCAGATTATATGTTTTTAGAATGAGTAGTAGACACAGTTTTACTGTATATTGAGTTTTCCCTCAGTCACTTTAATTTACAATTTAACAGATGGAAATGTTTACAGTAATGTCTTAATTGTGATGAAAGTAATAAACAGAATCATTGATAAACTGCAGCCTTTGCAAAGTCCAGAACCCACCAGGAATGAATTTGACATTTTGCTGGCAATGCAAACCAACCATTTGTTTGTGTGGCCAGAGGACTGCAGTTAAAGGCCTTCTCTAGGTCCTGAAATGTTGAACATATAACTCGACCTGCGAGCAGTCTTTATCCTTCAAGCTCAGATCCTGGCAGCTTGAGGGTCATGCACAGGATCTTTGCTGTTGCTAGGACTGCGCACTTCTGAATATAGATGTCAGATGTTTTTCCTGGGATCTGCTGGACCCTTTTCCCCAGTTTAGGAATCACTGCCCCGAGTGCTCTGATTACCACTGGGACCCATGTTGCGTTTAGATTCCACAACATTCTTATTTAAAGTAAGGCTCCATTTTAAAATAAAAGAAAATAATAAAATTTGAAAATTTTGTCCTTCAAATTAAGTGGCTAACCTCAGAAAAATTAAATGAATGGGGAAAAATTTTTAATTTCCCCTTTTGTGTTTCACATCCTGACTAAACAGTCTCAACCAGTTTTGCAGATAATAAATCTCATCCTAAGTCTTAATAACTATAGAGTAGCTGGGGCTCACTTTCTCCCCCTCTTTTAATCAACTTCCCTACTAACTAAGCTCTCGCTTTTGCTGCCAGGATTTTAAACCTGGGCTTGAATGGAGTCGGGCCCATTCTCATTTGCCTATTTCAAGCCTGGACCGATATTTAGTTTTGATTAAGTTCACTGTGCAGAAAACTCACATTTGTGTGTGGAGCCACACATGGTTAAGATGGATAGGGTGACTTTACTCATAATGGAGGAAGTTATCTCAGGGTGCATTTGGAATAAAAATGGCAGTTTCTAAGGCCCCAGGTATGTAAAGCTTGTTCTACTTCTTTACTCTTTTGTGTACTTCTTTCTTCAATTCAATTCAATTCATTCAGTGCCTTCAACACACCAGCTGTTCTTGGAGGTTGGTAACTAATCTCATAGGGTGGGGATGATGATATTCCCCCCATAACACTTTTGCATAACGTTTTTGCAAAGTCCGTTTTTGTGAACGGACTTTGCAAAAACAAGTGGAATGTTTCAATAACCATACCATAAAAGGAGTGAAGAAAAAACCTTGTTAGGAATAGTGTAGTTAATAAAGACAGACATTGTGAGTTACCGGAATTTAATTAATTTTGCTTGTATTCCTTGCTTCAGTCCTTCTTCTCTGATCTGTTTGAGACAGTGGCAAAAAACAGGGAATAAATATTTCATATAGCTAGTAGAATGAGAAAAAGAGAAAACTAAATAACAAAGAAAAAAGGCAAAGACTTACGGTGTTGCTAACAATTTTGTGAAAGTCATTGGTTTGTTGAGTGTATTCTTCCTTGAATTCAACATCCATAGTTATTTCAAATGTCTGTGTCATTGGTGTAGTTGTTGTTGATGTTGGTGTTGTCGTCGATGTTGGTGTTGTCGTCGATGTTGTGTTTGTTGTTGGTGTTGTTGTTGATGTTGTTGATGTTGGTGTTGTTGTTGATGTTGTTGTGTTTGGCATTGTTGGTGTTGTCTTTGTTATTGGCATTGTTGTAGTTGTCACTGATGGTAATGTAGTTGTATTTGGTGTTATACATGGATTGAAAGCTGTGGAGAATAAATTAAGATCCAAGAAAGATTAACACCAGAGAATTCCAACAGAAATAAATGTATTAAAGACATATTTGAATACATCATATTCAGGTCACATAAAAACTTATTTACTAAATTCTTACTTGAGATTGGTTCACAAATTTCTCCACCAGGAGGAAGTCTGTTGATGCACCCACAGGTTTTTGAGGTGACATTACTGCATGCACCATATTTATCACACTTGTCACATGACCAAGCAAACTGGTCCTCACACTGACACTGCACTCCCGTAGAGACTGGAGAGCACCCTTTTCAAGACAGTTAAAAGAATGACAAAACAAAGCTCATTATTCATATAGCACTATATAAAATAGCGCTAAAAAAATCACATAAATAAGATCAAGTCCTTACATGTGGTGAAGTTCAAGTCTTTTACTGTTAAAGACTCAATTTGAGGAGAGATGACATTTTTCATAATGTCTCTGAGTACAACAGTGATATTTGGGGGCACACTGGCTGCTGAGATGTGCAATTCAACTGCTATATAGAAGACCACTGGTGCTGTGAAGGAGAAAATGAGTGAATGCATCACATGAACCTGTCACAATGATGGGACACAATAAAATGTTGACAACAAGCTCCCATTTCAAAAACCCAATTTCCACGTGGTCAAAATCCTGTTGGCAGCAATCTACAACTAAATTTACTCCAGCTCTCAGTTACATGAGTCACTTGGCAAACAGATTCATTTTTAGATAATTTAAATAGCTGTATTGTTACAACAAAAGAGATTCAATTTATTTAGATTTTACAGTGCAAGTGATAATCTGGAGCATTGTACATTTCAAATATCATACCATTTGTTGATGTAGGTGTTGTTGTTGATGGTGTTGTGACTGTAAAAAAAGAGAAAAAAAAGCAGCAGTTCAGGTTTCTAGCATACTTTTAAAAATGTATATTTTTTCTTTTCCCATGCAGCTAGAGAATCTAACGTACATGCTGCAACACTACATATTATATCTTAAACCCAAGTGTTTGCTTTAAGGACATGAAACAGAACACTTAAAATCTTTTTAATCAACATATGAGTAGACATGTTGACACACATGTTTATTGACAGTTGAAGTGATTTGGTCTAATATTAACACTGTGTGAGCTTTGACACAAAAGCACTTTAAATTGATACAGTCCTGATCAAAATTTTAAGACCACTTTAAAAATGGCAAAAAAAAAAACATATTTTGCATGGTTGGGTCTTCACAATGTTCTTTAACGTGCAACAAGAAGAAATGGAAATAAGACAATTCATTTTTTGAGCATGCAATTTATTGAAAACAATGCTTACACTGAAACAGGCTGTTTAACAGCTGATCAAAAGAACAAAAATCAGAGTTCCAAACATGATCTCAGTAATGAGTAGCTCCACTGTTATTGTCAATCACTTCAAAAATTTATTGCAGGATCCTTGATGCAAGCATTTCCAGGAGGTGAGTGGAAACATTTCTCCAAGTGGTGAAGACAGCCGCACAAAGGACATCTACTGTGTGAAATTGTTGTCCATCTTTTAAACTTCCTTTGCCATCCATGCCCAAAGGTTCTCAATTGGATCTAGATCAGGGGATCACGTAGGATGGTCCAGAAAAGACTGATGTTATTCTCCGGAAAGAAGTCCCTTGCCCTTGTGTACTGTAGCGTTGTCCTGTTGAAAATCCCAGTCGTTACCACACAGACGAGGGCCTCAGTCATCAGGGATGCTCTCTGCAACATCTGGACATAGCCAGGGGCTGTTTGACACCCCTGCAACTCCTGAGGCTCCATTGTTCCACTGAAGAAAAAGAGCACCCCAGACTATTATGGTGCCACCACCACTGTGGTGCATAGAAAACATCTGAAGTAGCATCTGCTTGCCAATAAAGTTATAACTATCAGGACCATCAGGGATTTTTTCTCATCAGAGAATAAAATTTTCTTCCACCTTTCAATGTCCAGTGTTTGGTCCTCTCTTGCGAAGTCCAAACAGTGAGTTCTGTGGCGTTCCAGGACACAAGGCCTTTGAAGATGTTTTTTTTATATTTGAAGACCTTCAGTCTCAGATGCCGTCTGACGATTATGGGTTTGCAGTTGGCACCAGTAACGGCCTTAATTTGGGTTGCGGATCGTCCATTGTCTTGAGGGACAGCCAATTGGATCCTGTGGCTCACTGCAGGAGAAATTGTTTGTTTCTTCCACTCGACTTTTTTGTTCCATAACCCTCAGAATCATTTAAGAAATTCCAAATGACTGTCCCACCTCAGCAGCGATGGTGCACTGCCAGAGACCCTGCTTATAGTGTTTAGCAACCCGAGCATGTTGAAAAAGGGAAACATTTTTTGCCTTTCCCATCAGAACTTAATGACAGTGTGACTACCTGACAGAAAATGACAGTGAATCCACATTTTTGCAAAGGCATTTTAACGGCAAGTGGTCCTAAACTTTTCTTAAGTTGTAAAACAGCCTGTTTCAGTTTAAGCGTTGTTTTCAATAAATTCATGTTCAAAAAATGTTTTGTGTCACTCCCGTTTCTTCTTGTTGCGTGTTGAAGCTCTACCTGAAATCTTGTTAAGATCCAAACATGCAAAATATGATTTTTTGAGATTTTTCAAGTGGTCCTAAACTTTTGATTGGGACTGTACATGAATATATAAAAAATTAACAGAGAACTGATTAACAAAATCAAATAAAATGCAAGTGACGATCAGGCGCTCACAAAAACATTTATACTTTACATTTCATACATCATACCATATGTTGTAGTAGGTATTGTTGTTATTGGTGTTGTGACTGTGAAAGCAGTTCAGATTTCAGCATACTTTTCTTATATTTCAAACTTCTCTTTTCTAAATGCAGCCATATAAATAGCTGTGTTGATACAACAAAAGTGTTTCATTTTTTAGATTTTACAGTGCAAGTGATAATCTGGAGCTCACATACATTCATTCTTCACTTTACATTTCAAACGCCATACCATTTGTTGTTGTAGTTTCTGGTGTTGATGGTGTTATGGCCATAAAACAGGAAAAAAGCAGCAGTTTAGATTTCAGCATACTTTTTTGTGTTGTAGATTAATATTTTTAAATGCAGCCACAGAATCTAATTTAAATTATCCTTGCAATGTACATATTATGTCTTTAATATCAAGTGTTTGCTTTAAGGACAGGAGTGCTGTGCTTACATATCATCACCATATAAGCCTTGGTGAAATTGTTGAAAGACTTTAGGTTAGTAAATACAGTGACTACAATTTTTTTAATGATATTTACTGCAAAACAATACTTTAAAGAAGGAACAAGGAAAGCAAGAATTGTTCACATACCTGGAGTTGTTGTTGGACATGAAGAAATATCTGTGGAGGAAATTCAGGGTTTGAAAATGTTTATTTTCTAGTATATGACAAAAATGATTAACAGCAAAGAAGACAAAAAAAAACCACAATCAAGAAAAGAGACAAAAAAAAAAACAAATACAAGAACACACCGTTATTTTTAACAACAGAAAGTTTACACTGAAGTTTAATAGATGATTCTAAGTAACCGTAGCTATATATTGATGAGCACATCCTGGCCAGATACATTCATTAAGGTCTTTGGTGAAAGCACGTTTCTGTAGCAACAGCGAGAAGATTTCAGTGCTTACTTGTGATTGGTTTACAAAACTCTCCATTAGAAGGACGGAAATATCATCGAATTTTATGTGAAGAGTAACATGAAGATGTAATGAAGGGATTTTAGAGTTTAGACTGGGCAGGTAGGGATAGATATAGATAGAATGATGTGGTGTGGCTTGACATTGGAAGATTTTATGTAAACAATATGACTGAATCTGTAGATCAGTATTGGTGTACTGGTATTGTAATTGCAATAAACAAGTCTATTTAAGAAATTGGATGCATTCCACTTTGCAATAAGTGAAATTCACCACGGACCATAATGGACCTTTTGTGCATTTCCACAAAAGGTATTTAAGGTATTTATTTAATCAGCAACACTGCTCTTAAAATCTTAATTCTCATAGAAGCAGTAATAGTTTATTAACAGCAGCTTACTTGCGAATTTTAAGTAAGCTCAACAAATATAAGCAATTATAAATTTTGTCTGTGGAGTTTGGATCATAGGGTATCTTGCTATTGAAAATGTACCGTTTCTCTATTTTCTATGGAGAGTAAACAGGAACCTTAATATGCAATAAACAATATAGAGAAAAACATAAGATAGAGAGGACTGGAGAGAAGAAGTTGAAGCTGAAGTTTTGTTTTTTTGCCATACTGTAAAAAGAGTTTAAAAAACAAACCAGTATAATAATTATTTTTGGTTGGTTTGCAATATTGGGGGTGTCTGTGCTGCAGAGCAAAGAGTTAGAAACTGGCCGTGACAGAGGCTTACTTGCGATTGGTTCACAGAACTC